ACTTTAATTTACTAGTCGACTGTCGACAACAAAAGTTGATAGACTCAATAACAAACCTGACCGTCGGCGCGCCTTCAACCAAAGAAATAACACATGAACTAGTGTCGTTAAAAACTATTACAGGTCATTCAACTTATCTCGACCTTCTTCGACGCTACCCTGAAATTACGAGACCTGCTGGATCTCAAATAAAACCGATCCATAACACCAAGCATCACATAAGAACTACACCTGGACCCCCGGTAACATCACGACCGCGCCGCTTGGCACCCGATCGCCTGAAAATCGCGAAGAAGGAATTCGAGCAAATGTTACAAAACGGTACAGCTCGTCGCTCTGAAAGTCCATGGTCGTCTCCATTACATCTCGTACCTAAAAAAGATGATGGCTGGAGGCCATGCGGCGATTACAGACAATTAAATTCAAGGACCGTTCCAGATCGATACCCAGTAAGACACATCCACGACTTCGCGTACCAACTGTCAGGATCCACCATATTTTCTAAAATTGATCTCGTCAAAGCTTTCAACCAAATACCAGTTCACGAAGATGACATTAAGAAAACTGCTATTACAACGCCATTCGGATTATTCGAATTTCCCGCCATGACCTTCGGTTTGAGAAATGCTGCACAGACGTTCCAGAGATTCTTGGACGAAATTCTTCAAGGTTTGGATTTTACTTTCGGATTTCTTGATGACATTCTCGTATTTTCAAAAGGGGAAAAAGAACACATTGAACACATGACGAAAGTTTTCGACCAGTTAAAAAAATATGGCGTCATTATTAATAGTAACAAATGTGTTTTAGGTGTTAGTGAAGTTACATTCTTAGGCTATCATGTATCTGCAGCCGGCATACGACCTCTCCCAGAAAAAGTACAGGCCATCCGTGATTACCCCATTCCCAAAACAGCTAAGGAATTGAGAAGATTTTTAGGTATGTTAAATTTTTACCGTAAATTCCTTCCTGGTGCTGCGCAAATTCAGGCCCCCCTCAATCAAGCTTTGAGCGGCCCGAGTATCAAAGGATCAACGCCTATTGTCATAACAGCTGACATACAAAAAGCGTTCGACGCATGTAAGAACAACTTATTAGAAGCTACGCTCATCGCGCATCCTGACCCAGAGGCTGAGTTAGCATTATTTACCGACGCATCAGATGTGGCTATCGGTGCTGTCTTACAACAACGAAGACAGGACAACTGGCAGCCACTAGGATTCTTCTCTCGCAAGTTATCACCTGCTCAGACCAAGTACAGCACCTATGACCGTGAGTTGCTCGCGATATATGAAGGGATAAAATATTTTAGGTACATGCTCGAAGCGAGAACATTTAAAGTGTTCACCGACCATAAACCCATCACATTTGCCTTCACAACAAGCCGAGATAACTGTTCACCCCGTCAACACCGCTACCTTGACTACATATCTCAATTCACCACAGATATCAACCACATCACTGGAAATGACAACGTAGTCGCCGACGCATTTTCACGACTGGAAAGCGTCGACACTACCATCAACTACAAACATTTGCAAATAGAACAGGAGAAAGATCAAGAATTACAGCACCTACTAAGAAACAACACAGCGTTAAAGTTGGATAAAGTCAAAACTATGGATGCCTACATATACTGCGACCAGTCTACTTCTCGCCCTAGGCCATTCATCACACCAACTTTCCGCAAACAAATTTTCAACAATCTTCATAATCTAAGTCATCCAGGTCCCAACGCAACAGCAAAACTGATTTCCGAAAGATTTGTGTGGCCGAGGATACGTCGAGACTGCAGAACATGGGCTCAACAATGCGCAGATTGCCAACGCAACAAAGTTACCCGTCACACCCAATCTCCTCTTTCTCCATTTCCTGTTCCTTCCAACCGTTTTTCCCATGTCCACCTTGACATAATAGGCCCTATGCCACCATCTTCTGGTTTCAGGTATTGCCTTACAGCAGTGGACAGGTTCACTCGATGGCCGGAAGCCTATCCTCTCGCTGATATCACAGCGGAGACCTGCGCCAGTATCTTCATTTCTGGCTGGGTCGCTCGCTTCGGATGTCCTGAGAGCATCACTACGGATCGAGGGAAACAATTCGACTCTCAGCTGTTCCAGAGCATCTCGTCGATCATAGGTGCCTACCATCGTCCCACAACATCGTACCACCCGCAGTGCAACGGTTTGGTGGAGAGGATGCACAGACAGCTGAAGGCCGCCATCATGTGCCACAACAATGCTCAGTGGTCAGAGGCCCTACCTCTTGTTCTTCTGGGTATGAGAAGCGCCTGGAAGGAAGATGTACAAGCCTCTTCAGCCGAATTGGTGTACGGCGAGTCACTCCGGTTACCTGGTGAGTTCTTAAAACCTATAACTCACCAGAGCATGGATGAAGCAGACTTCGCAGCACGGCTGAGACAACATATTTCGAAGCTTTCACCTGTATCAACTTCGAGCCACGGTGAGAAGATATTTTATGTTCCTAAAGATCTCAATACAGCCACTCACGTTTTCTTGCGAAAAGGTCCCTTAAAGAAGTCATTAGAATCACCGTACTCTGGTCCACACTTAGTCATTGAAAGAGGACCCAAAACCTTCATAATAGAAGTTCAAGGGAAACGCATTACAGTAACCATTGACAGACTTAAACCGGCTTATATGGCTAACAGCGATGAGAAGATGTCACATGAAACATCATCTTCACCTCAACAACCATCTGCTCCATGGCCAGTTCCACCACAGCGACAACCTGAGACCACCACACGAAGCGGAAGAACTGTGAGATTTCCACGGCATCTTTCTCACTATCGACCGTGAACCGGTCTCAGCGGGGGAGTGATGTAGGGTATAGCTAAGAGACATACATAATTATATAATTACATACATACATACACATACATACATACATACATACATACATACATACATAAATACATACAAACATATATACATACATACATAAATACATATAAATAACTCATACACAATAAGTCTAAACATTACACTAACAATCTATAAAAATATTTATTTGTATTTGTATAACATCTGTACACAGCCTTATACGCACGCACGCTTGTACACACCCTTAGCTATACCTACCGTCCAGCCGCTAGCGGAGCCCCGGCGCCCGCGTTGCCAAAGTACCTAACGTTCGGGGAACCGCTCGGTATACGGCGCGCTGTCGCCGCCTCCACCCCGCGCTCACGAGCCGCGCCCCTCGCTCGCCCTCGACAGTCCGCATCGGCCAGCGATCGCGCGCGCATCGCCGAACATTACTCGCGTAATATTTAAGTTAATGTACAAATATCTTATTAACTATTGTATGATAACTTTTGTATTTCAATAATAAACATTTATAAGTTAGTGCGTAGTGTTTAATTTCTACCTGAACACTATAGACACTACAAACGATTCCATATCATGGTAGGCATGACAAGACGTCGTGTTTAAATGTCCTGGCCCGACGATATGGTCTTAGATTTATTTCTCAAGTTAAGCCTATATTATGCTTTATTATATCAAGTGCGAAATAATCTATTTTGATATGGATCACAAGGTATAACACCTACATTTTATGAACGCCTTTTTTTTGTCAGGGGAAAATCATCCAATGACTTCTCCCGCCCAGGGTAAGGCGAGAGAGAGTGTCAGACTCTTACTGACTAAAAACCCCCCCGTTCCTTCTCCTGCTCTGGCCGAGGTCGCGGTGCCTCATTGCGCTTACCCCGCAGCCCCGGCTAAACATCAGCCCTTTAGGGCCCCGACTGTGGTGGTCTATTGGCTCTTTGAGGCGCGCGCGGAACGCTACGCGCCGTACGCTCGGGTCCGGTTCTGGTCGGGCGGCGAGCTACCCTTACTCGCCGTCCGCAGACCCGCGCTTACGGTGGCCGGAGATCATCTCTCGATCCCCGACGTCCGGAATGTCGCCTTCTGCGGCGGCTGGGGCGCGAGGAGGATAGTTCCCTCACGCGCTCCGCCTCCTCCTTTGCGAGCATAACTGCTTCGCAGAAGGAGGAGATAGCTTCCCAGTTCCTCTCACGCTGCACCATGGCCTCGATTAAGGCCGGGCGCGAGAGGTCGCCGCCGCTGATCACTTCCCTGAGAACACGGCGGTGCTCAGCCCAAGCAGGGCACTCCGCCACCGTATGCTCCACCGTGTCCTCCAGGTGATCCTCACAATGACGACACTCGGGCGTTTCCTCCCGCTGGATCCGAAACAGGAACCTACCAAAGCTGCCGTGCCCGGTAAGCACCTGCGTCAGGCGGAAGGTGAGGACGCCGTGGCGTCTCTCAAGCCACTCCTCAAAGAGGGGTCTTACCGCTGCTATGGTAGCGTGCCCGGCCCTCGGTTGCGACAGTCGCTGCTTCCACTCAGCCATGAGATCTCGCCGGAGCTCATTCCGCCACGCACTAATTTGGCGCGGCAGAGGATCCTCGCCCCGGCGACGCGCGTCTGCGCGCAAACTGTAGACGCGCGCGAGTGCCTTCGCTTCCAGATCCCATGGCGGTGATCCGGCAAGGAGGTTCGCCGCCTCCCCGGAGATCGTGCGATATCCGCGGATTATTCGGATAGCCATGACCCTCTGGGACGCGACCAGCGTACGAGCCGGCCGCCGCTTCAAATCCGGCGCCCACACAGGGGCACCGTAGAGGGCCATGGATCGCACAATCCCCATATACAACCTCCGGCAGGACATTTTATGAACGCCTTAGGTAGCATTATGCAAATCTTCTTAAACTTTATGAGAAAAAAATGCAAATCAAATCAATCAAATAAATAAAACCTATCTACTCAAAATAAATAATTAAAAAAGATAATCCTACTAGGACTGAAGTGTTCCTCTTATCGATCACTAATAAAGTTAGTGATCGATGGTTCCACTATATAAAAACATCCGATTCAAATACTTGTAAATCGATATATTAATTACGTATAAATCGCCTAAACACGATTTTAAATTGTGGAGCTTTCATCTGTATGGATTTACTTCAGATTCACAGCACTCAATAATGTCATGCGAACATCTCTAACAGATATAAAGTGTGTGGATTGTGTGTCTTTTTGTGATTTTTTACTCTTCATTTCGATTCTTGTGATAAAATATGATGAACTAAGTTTTCATGAAATAATAGTGAGCATGTTTAAGTTTTCTTTGAAAATAATTACTTACATTGGTTTGATCTGTAATAACCTTGATCAATAAACGTCAAGAATTTCAAGTGAGAATGATTTGGTAAGTAAAAATACTTAAATATTAATTAAAAACAATATATTGTCACTGAAATACTTCGATAGCTGAATGTAAATATTAATCTGTATTTGAGTTTGAAAGACGTAAATGAAGAGTTACAAACTAATTTGTCATGTTATAGTAGTTTTCTGGTCTCCAGCTTCACAGCTGAGAGATTGCGATTTTTGTATTAAAAATTTTTTTTATAAATTTTTGTTTTAGCGCATATTATATACCATTTAATTCTATGTGAATTAATTTTGTTTTCGTCTTCATTTCTGCAAAATGGCCTTTAAACCTTTCATTTTATTCGTATTTTATTTATTGTGGCCATTATTATGATCTGTTTTTTAAAACAATTCTATATGGACATTCTTGTTGCATCATTTAAAAATTTTAAAGAATGCCTGAATAAAATGTATAAAATAATATTAATCATGACTTAATTATTTAATAAATGTCACAGTAAGATTTATTGTCTTAAATAAAATGTATCCTTACAAACAGTTTAAAAATTGTTTGTCTAAGATGATGTAAGTTTATCTTTTGTTTTGTTTTGTACCTGAATAAGTTGCTATCAAATGCAACAAACTTGTATTAGTTACAATGTAGTCTGCAGTTTGAGTGTTTCCAAACTGGCTTTTTCTTATTTTATTATGTAAACACCCATAACAAATTGTTAAATTATAGCTAAAAAAAAACAGATTATTTTTTCAAATACACATATATTGCTTCTGCTCTTAGCCTACTTTGATTAGATTTAATATTGCTAAAACAAAAGATTTGAAGAAAGTCTTGATTTAAATTTTATCTCATCACTGACATGATTTTGATCTACTGATATATTTTCAGTCTGAAAATATCAGTATTTTTCTGTGACAGTAGATCAAAAACTTTTAACAAAGAAGGTGAATCATGTTTACAAACAATATTTAAATTTTAACTTTTCCTAAACAGACTCAAATATGGCCAGAGCTGAAGTTGGTATGCTTTAACAATGGGTAAAATGAAATATTTCATAAAATGAATGCTCCAAGTGGGTGTGTCAGCTGCAGTGATGGGTCGCAACAGTTTGATAGTAAACATGATGCAGACTGCTCTGAGGGTGAGGACGCACAGATTAGACTGGCACCACATGTGCAAGCTTACCTGGCACGCAACAATCCCACTACCAACTGTTGTGGCCTCACTATACCTATTGCCTTTGAGAGGGCTGCAACAGGAACCTGGTGGAACCCTCGATTTGATTCTGAGATACTTGAAGGCCAATACAGAAGTAGTTCCTTTAGACAAATAAGACTAAGATTTAGGTAAGTTCATAATGTAACTGTGTAAGAATCTTGCATGATTGTAATTTAACTGATAAATTGCTTGTTGTCACTGTTATTATCATTAACTAAATATATTTGATGTTTTTATTTTTTCTTTTTTTCAGATTTGCACTTTTATACATTTTGATATTTTCTATATCATGGTTTGTCTACTTTGTGGCCCTTGGTTCCAATGGCATTACAGTAAAATGGCCGTTTTTATGTTCTATATTTGGTGGGGTTCTTTTGATAACATCTGTTATGCTATTTGTTACCTTTACAAATATATACAAAGTGTACACATTCAAGCTATCCCTGGTCATGGCACTCGCTCTGTGTACCCTCAGCCTGTCACTGGTGACACTCACCACACGGTCAGACACAGCATTATCTCAGGCCGCTGACATCAGCCAGTCAGGACACTTCACCATGTGCATAGAAATATTGCTGATTATATATACACTGACACCTTTACCACTGTATGCCTGTGTTATCATTGGAATTTTGTATTCAATAGTCTTTGAAGTACTGAATATTGTGTTACATTTGTCAGAGCAAGAATGGCAGTGCCCTGGAATGTTTGTAAGAATTTTGCTGCAACTTTGTGTTCACATAATTGGTGTTCATATATACCTAATGACCTTTGTGAGAATGCGCGGTACCTTTATGAAAGTAGGGCAGAGTCTGTTAGTGAGAAAGCAGCTAGAAATGGAGAAACAGCTGAAAGAGAAGATGATACACTCTGTGATGCCGCCGAAGGTCGCGAGTTGGCTGCTAGAGGAACAAGTGCTCGAAACTGAGACTAATATAAAGACACACAATCCGCTCAAACCCAGACATTCAAACCCCGGCGCGTCGGACATCAAGTCGTTATTTAGGCCTTTCAACATGAGCTCAATGGACAACGTCAGTATACTATTTGCCGATATCGTTGGCTTTACCAAGATGTCAAGTAATAAGGGTGCTGAAGAATTAGTAAATATATTAAATGACCTGTTTGAGAAGTTTGACGAGTTATGCCAAAATCATGGATGTGAAAAAATTTCTACTTTGGGTGACTGTTATTATTGCGTATCTGGCTGTCCTGAGCCCAGGCCGGACCATGCTACGTGTTGTGTAGAAATGGGATTGGGTAAGTGTTCTTAAATAGATTGAAAGCGCCTGTCGCGTCTAGACAACTGGGTTATATGTGATTAAATACTTTGGCTTATCTCAGAAAATTACTGACAAAAAATACTGATATATTTTTGTTAATTTGTTGCTATTAGGGTGTCTGATTTTGCCATTATCTTCATCATCTTGTTCCATTATTAAGAAAATATTATTATCGATTAATCCTTTTGAATTTTTTCAGGAATGATAGACGCTATCAGGGAGTTCGACAGAGTTCGCGGCGAAGGAATAAATATGAGAGTCGGGGTGCACACAGGTACTGTGCTGTGCGGTATAGTGGGCACTCGCCGATTTAAATTCGATGTTTGGAGTAATGACGTTAGTTTCGCCAATAAAATGGAGTCCACTGGAAAGCCAGGTCGCGTCCACATATCAGAAGAGACTGCAAAATTTCTCGGTGGTTCTTATATCTTAGAAGAGGGCGATGACGTTTTCGGTGAGTGGGTTTAGAAATAAACATTCGATTGCACGGTTGTTAGTATTGTGGACACATTCTAAAACCAATTCTGTTTATCCAGGTCATAAAACCTATTTTATTGAAGGCCGTCAGCTGTACTCCCCTTACAGCCATGAGAACTGCCTAACTCCCTCCAATCCTATAAACTTACGTCTGATTATATCCCCCGCAGCATCACCTCAATCCGTCCTATCCTGCAATCACTCCCCTCTGCCGTTGTCCCCTAAAGCTGACGATAGATCCAGAAAAGCCGATTGTAAGAACTTCCTGTCCCCAAGTGCATTTCATTTCCGAACAAAAGCTAGTTCACTGCCGAGTATATTGGATTCTGACACCGAACTCGACGAGAAGAGGGAAAAAGGATTCCCCGAAACTAACAGCTCGTCGAAGAGTCCTACGTCCGTAGGTGAGTTCTTTTGTTATTGGGAAAAACTATCATTGCGATTATTCGGCGAATCTATAGATTGGCTTGGATAATCAACACCTATAACAGAAAAATGAGGTTTTATTCAAAGGAACCTTTATACATACCGTTTGGGCAGTACTGTTTGGCAATTAATGCAATAATATTGATTTCATTATTACATTGTTCGCATTTGAGCTCGAGTCCAGTGTAAACTCGAGATGAACTGTAGAAAAGTGTTATTTATCACTTGAATAAGGCACAGGCTGATAAGATATTGTGTGACTCCGTTACGTGAAGGTGATGCTCTTTGTCACACAGATCACGACTTGAGTGGGATGATTTGAATTAGTCATTCTCCTATCTTCCATAAATTAATTGTTCTACGAGGGAAAATAGTGGAGCTAAGTTTAATAATAAGACTTGTCTGTATAGTATGCAATCTTCGCATATTGAGCCAGTAAACTGTAAACATTTAACAGAATTCGATTTTATAGCCAAACAATTAAAGTCACTATAGATTTCTCCAGCTTTCATTACAAACAGAAATAGTTATTTAAACGCACACTATGTTAATGTTGGCGTGCATAAATGAGTTGAATAAACGGTAAACTGAAATTGATACCGAAATTATTTTCAGTATATCTATTGCTAATACATTTTATACAACGCATATCTCGCGATGTAAGTTAGTAACAGTATTGGATTTTCCGTTCTTATTTATCTATTCGAGTTTTTGCTATACTGCTCTTAGAATCTTACTAATTCTTAGTTATGTAATGTTTTCTATGCTAAGGTCGCATTTATATTCACAATCATAAATCGTCTTAACCATTAAATCATGGTAATTCGAGATACAATAGAAGGGCAATAGGTGCGAACGCTGGCTTTCGCTTGGGGTTTGAGAAATTAAGACTTATGTTGCAGGTCGTCATTATTAATGTATTTTGTGTGGTATTTAATGTTAAACAGAATTCACTTTTTTGTAGGGAGCTACGGAAAATATACGACAAAGTTGAAAAACTGGAAAGTGCCTAGATTTTTACGGAAGCATTCGGATACGCCGCTTCATGAGATGAAGAAGCAGCAGGAGTTGACTGACAAATCGATACATTTCCTGGAGCGGGGTGATACGGCGGCCGGTACGCAGTCCAGCAACGGTTATCAGCAAGTGCCTATTGTGATAGAATCTCAAGACAATAAGAGTAGGCCGGCGCAGAGTACCATCAAGCTGAACATACCGCCGCTGAGTCACGACATGGCATCCTTCGAGAGGGAAATCATCGACATACGATCCTACTTAAGCCAGTCCAGGAGCAACATGTCGCCTTTCGCCAGAAGTAGCAGCTATAGATCGCAATACGGCAGATCGAACAATATTGAGGTAAATTATTTTTATTGAAATATTATTCAGAAGGAAATGTTTATGTATTTATGACGTCAGTTCGACTGAGTAAACGTTGTTTGTGTCAGACTTGAGTGCTTTGTTTTAAGACGTTGGTCACTGGGACACGTATTACTCGTACAACGCGGCTTGATACGTTCAGATTGTGATAAGAAACGTTTTAAGATGATCTGCATATCGGGGCCGTGTGTTAGCCGCGCTCGCCGCGCCGCCATATAAAATATTAATAGAATCATATTTGAACTATAAAGATGTTTGTTTTTATAGCATCTTATCTCAGGTTTATATCTTTGCGAGATTATCAAAAGTTTTGGTTTCGAAACGAAATAAACTTTACAACCTCGCCCTTGACTCGGGGGCAATGTGAGTCGTTAAAGATACTGGAGTTTGCGCAACTCATTTGCGATAATTATTACCCGTTGGTCGTCTAACACATATTGTTATGTGGAGTGCACGCATTGTTCGTAATGAGCATTTATTTCCGTAATGGTACTATGTTGACTAACGATGTTTACAATAACACGCCTGTTTGTTCCGCGGCGCGGTGGGCAGGCACGGCGGACAAGTAACTTTCAGTATTTCTGTGTTTATCATTTGAATTAGTTTTGTCGTGACCGAGGGTCGCGGAAAACTAACGATATTTTCCTATGATTATATAAATTATTGTAATATAGTGTTCCTCAATTCAGTTTCTGATAATATTTACTTTCTATCAGCGATCTATATGTTAGGTTTGGGATGATGAAATATAATTTAGTTTATCAAATAGCGAAGTTGAAATTATTGGTAAAAGTACTTTAGGCGATGTGTGCGACAGAATAAAAGGGCTGATTTAAGCATCTCAGTGAGGGCCTGGCCGCTTAAGACACTTATAATAGTTGAGTGAGAAACATAGGTAGATTGATTTTTGTAAAAACGAATAGTCTACAATGTTATATTTAGTCCACAGTTGATATGTTCACTTTATATTATATTGATTCGTTTCTATAGAATGATTGTGCACGAGACGAGCCTTGTGCGAATTTATTTTTTGCCGATATGTATAATAAAACGTAAGCGAAAATATGCTCGTGTACATTTAAAATTAGCACTTATTAGTTAGTAATAAGGAGTTATCATAATAGCAACATATTGTTGAAATATAGTTTGGTAAACTTTGTAGGTGCCAGTTTGTCGAGCTCGAAGTTCAACGATCACGACGCAAGACGAGTTGATTCGACCTAAAGAGCGAAAGTTGAACTTGCCGTTGCCGTCGCCGCAGACGTCCCGACCACCGGATGACGTCATCAGTCTCTGTCCCTCGGTGAACAGTCGCAAGGACTCCGGCATAAGGAGCACGAGTCGCCGGTCCAGCATACAGCAACAGGTCAACTTTGATGTTCCTATTTTTACTTATAACGTAAGTAAAAAGGCCATAAAATCATCCAGCATGTGTGTATGTAAATCAACTTATTCCAAACACATAAATAAACTTGACGCATAGGTATTTGTGTACCACAGCGCGAAGATTTTTCATGAAATGGTAACGCATCATAAACATGCTTTTAATAAAATTATAAACACGTTCCCCTAGAACAGTCTGCTGCAGTCATAAACCATGTCCGTCATACCATTGGATTGCAATTGGTTCCAAATTTAAACTTTACGTTCAGTTGATTAAAGTTGAAAAATGCATGACCGTGATGTTTTTGCGAGCATGAACTTATTCATATTTTTCCATTATAAACCGGCTTACATTCCTAGCTCGTATTTCTTTGAAAATGTAATACGCTATATGTATGAACATACAGTTTGTCTAGCTAGCTACGCCTACAGAAGCATTCACAGGTCAGGTTACAAATCACTTGACGTTCTCCCAGTGGGTGACGATGACGTCATCGACGTATTAACACGGCAAATGCCACATTTCTAAGTGTCAGGGGATCTTGAAGTGTGTCAAGAGGATGACGAAAATAAAGTTGATGCTTGCGTAGTTTGGTACCTCACGGAAAACAAATTTAATCACGTTACGTTTCGAATAATGGATGACTAATTCATTTGGAAATTATGTTTGGATTGCCTCTTTGTTTTCTGCTGTATCGATTAATAAATTTTCCACAATATCTGTATAAATCTATAAAAAAGGTTTTAATATGCATATCTAGATGAAAAACGATTTCCTGAAACGGATTCTACATAATTCTAGAAGAATATATGATTAAAAGGATTTACAACATTATAAACCTATTAATTAAAATGAGTCATAGTGAGATGCGACAAATATAAATAAATAAATTTATAGTAAAAAGTGCGTAAGAATTTTGCGTCATCATGTGGTCAGTGACGTATTCTTAGAATAAATGAATCCTGTTGAGACACGTAAACTTTTTTTACTATCTTCTTCTAGCTTTAGATTTTCACTACCTTCATTAAGTCCCCGACAGCCTAATGTGGCACATAGTTCATATAAATTACCTTCTATTTAAATGCGTGCGTGTATTCAGAAATTTTGTGTCAGTCCCTCGTTCAGCCGGGGTTGCCGGCAAGCGCAAGGAATGGGGTTTTTAGTCAGTATGAGTATAACACTCCCTCTAGCCCCACCCGGGGCGGGAGAAGTTAATGATTTTGCTCTCCAAAAGGCCTTTAGTGTATGAATATATATTTTTATTTACAGATTTACGCGCTGAACCACATAGCGACGTCGCACCCCGACATGATGGCGCACCGCGTGTCGGGCTACTACACGTCGAGCCAGTCGTCGCTGAACGAGCAGCCCGGCAGCCGGCTGCCGGCGCCGCTCAACGACGAGCAGGTGCAGTCGCTGCAGAAGCTGCGCAAGCAGTCCGACCTCCAGCTCATCCGCTGCGTGCAGGACAACGCGCGCTCCGGCATCAACTACTTCGTACAGCCGCCGCTCAACAGGTTCACCCTCTTCTTCAAATCCTCCGAAATAGAGAAACACTACAGGGACAAAGCCCACCGCAGTGACGACAGCGAAGACTTCCCGCCCACACTCACTACTTCAAGATTTAACACCGCGTTAGATATTTTAGTGTCGGCCATCATTTTCTTGGCGGTCACAGCTTCTATATTCTCGCTATACAGTGACTGGAAATCTTCCATTGGATGGTTCGCCTTCTTCTTGTGTATTGAAATCGTAGCCATGTCTCTCTGTTCCTACAGACATTATCTAAAATGGAAGACGAATCATGAAGCGCTTTCAGAGACCATTCCCCGGTCTGTAAGGATATTCAGGAAGCTCTCGAACTGGTTCCCGTGGCACTTGTGTGGTGGATTGCTCATCAGTTTACCGATACTGGCCGTGCTTATTAATTTCTCATGTGAGAACACTACAATGACGATCTTGCGCGGAGAACAGTCATTTTACGTTTACCTGCTGTGCATCAGTGTAGTACACTTCTGCAACTTCACCCAGATGAACTGGCTTGTGAAAAATACTCTAGTGACGCTCTACGCTGGTTTGTTCCTATTTTTTGCTGTGCTAGGTTGTCACGAAGCTAATACTCAATTGCTGCAAGATGCTGATATTACACTAAAGCTAAGCCCACAAATAGTTATTCAGAATACAACAGACTTTAATTTTAGGAACGATTCCATATTCGACTGGGTAGACATGAACAACGGCACCGTCGGTGCTGTGGACAGTCACCAACACAAGTTGCACCTGACCGAGCTGTATCTAGACGTGGCGTTGTTGCTCATGCTAGTCTGGTTCCTGAACAGAGAGTTTGAAATAAGTTACCGCTTGAGCTTCTATAGCAACGTAGTTGCCAACCGCGACAAACAGAGAGTCCAGAATATGAGAAATCAGGCCGACTGGTTGCTCCACAATATAATACCTCGACATGTTGCCGATCAGCTCAAAAACACAGCGAAGTACTCTGAAAACCACAAGGATGTCGCCATTATATTTGCCAGTATAGTTAATTTTAATGAAATGTACGACGAGTCGTATTTGAAAGGGAAGGAATACCTTCGAGTACTTAACGAACTGATAGCAGACTTCGACGAGCTCTTGGAACGGCCGGAGTTCCAACACGTGGAGAAAATTAAAACCATAGGCAGCACCTTCATGGCGGCCAGTGGACTGAACCCCGACCTGAGGCACGCCTCGCGCGGTACTTATGACCACCTCTACCAGCTGATGGAGTTCGCGCTAGAGATGCAGAAGGTGGTGGATAACTTCAACCAAGACTTGCTAGAATTTGATTTCATTCTAAGGATCGGGTACAACTTCGGAGACGTGACGGCGGGCGTGATCGGTACGACGAAGCTGTACTACGACATCTGGGGCGACGCCGTGAACATAGCGTCCCGGATGGACTCGACGGGCGTGCCAAAGAGGATCCAGGTGGGCGAGGCCTGTATCCCCGTGCTGTCGGCGCGGTACGAGTTCGAGCCGCGCGGCAGTGTCTACGTGAAGGGCAAGGACAACATGAATGTGTATCTCGTCATAGGTAGGAAAGACACGTAGGTGAAATATTCAGAATGAAATATAGAATCTGTGATTTAATTATATTGGAGATGTGAATATATGAAATTCTATTTATTGTGTGCAGTCCATTGTAAGTGAGATGTTCGAGCTTGAGATAATACTCGGGGTTGCACAGGCTGTTAATTTATTGTTACTTTAGCTGACGTGGATGTCGAGTGCGAGAGTGAGCGAGTACGTGTATATTTAATGTGAGTGAATGATCTAAAACTATTAAAATCTCCTTGCCTATACCGAAATATCTGTGACCAGTGTTCTAGTCTTCTAAATTCAATGGGAATGGTCCAGTTTTTATGATGTATTAGTTTATAGATTTGTATAGCGCTGACGTACGCCGTGCTTAAATGGACAGAGTTATTTTGATGGACGGCAGCTGTGTATTTATTTTAAAAATTGGATCATCTCCATTTGTACGACTTGTATATTCAAATTTACCTTCTTTATATTACGGAAAATAAATTTATATTTGTATATAAAAGTGAATATTAACCCACTTGGGCTAGCAAATAAAGTTTTATATTTATATAATTGTAATTGAATCGATGTGTTTAGAGTTTAAGTGAATGGTACTAATACAGAGTAGTGAGTAGAGTATGTTCATATTGTGTATGTAGTAGCGCATCGCTTACCGTTATACAAATCATTTGTCAATTTTATAGATCGGGTTCCGTAGGAGTGTAGGGTCCGTTGCAATACATATTCAATAATATTTAATAATTGAACAAGACTTTCTTTTTTTATAGGATATATCGTAAGAATTTTTTACATCTAAGCACGTAGTGCGTCGCTACAATATATTCTGGTCATCTACAATTGTAGATTATCTGCAGTAACTTGGCATCTGTAGTAATTCTAATAAAAATCTATTTACCGGATTATATATTAGTAAAATAGTTGATAGAAAATCGAACACATGTGATGTTCGGAGAAATAAACGCAAATCGAATGACAACTACTATATATAGGCATTAGAATACGCGTTGCTACGCTGGAATATAGTTTAGCTTATATAAATAATATTTATGCACAAACATTTAGTCCTGTATATTATATAAATAAGTACTTACGGGACCTACTTACTGATTGCTCATTGCGTGAATACTTTTAGCGGGAATTGGTAGTCGATGAATGAAGTTTCATATAAAAATTGCGCAATAACCATGTATCGATAATATTTGCGGCGCATCTAGCATAATTAGCGAAATATTTCCTAATAAATCAGCAATGTCCACGCGAAATATTCTAAAGTATGTATTAAAACTTTACACAATTCAATATTTGCCATTTGATGTTGGTGTAGTAGGTAATTTTCATACTTATGATCAAAGCCTTAAAAAAGTACTATACATTCCACTATGTATTTAATCTATATGCCTTCAAAATGTCTATTTTCTACTTGTAAAATGGCGTACTAAAGGTTGGTAGTTTTGCAACGAAGCGAGTTTTTATATTTACAGAATGTTGGACCAACAGAATTGAATAGGTAGCCTAAATAGCTCTCTTCTAAATTTACCTCTTCTTAAATACATTTTCAATTATGACTACTATGATAAATTATGTATTTGTGATATTTGTTAGAGGAGTGTTATACTGTAATAATATATGTATACCTAGCCAGATATTAAAATATATTTAACATCGATTGTTCTCTCTATAATAAAGATGTTAAGTTACATTGTACAAAATTATTTACCTGTGTCATTCAACATGATGATTGCCATGCAGGCGAAATAAAGAACAAAAACATTATATTTATTGTAATTACCTCTTGTAAATTTCAAGTGATAGAAGTGTAGATATTATGATATCGAAGAGAAACTATTCTTACTGCGCAAATAGTTGTTTTCGCGATCTATTGATTGGAAATCCAAACATTTGTACGATATTTGTACACGAAATTTCGTGATTCCTAATTTGGCGGTTGAAAAGCCAATTTTACGTTTTGAAAACGTGATTAGCTGGGTCATTGCGACCGCAGGGGCTCGGGATGTGTGTGGTCAGACTAGCCTCGTTGACGATACACACGTGTACTGTCGATGTAGTTACAGGGTGGATGCCACAGTGCAACAAAATAGCACACATATTTACAAAATTGTAAGCTTATTTTACCTAAACTGAATATGTATTAAAATAGTTAAGTCACTTTATGTCACTGTAATTAAAATTAAACTGGATGTAAACATATTTTTACATTTTAATGGTCAACGAGGCGATGCAAACGACGAAAGATAGATGTTACCAACTACGTGTTATATTAAAAAGTAGTTTAAGAGTCGTAGCCCATTGAACTGTAGAGGAGAGGTGCGTAAACAAATATTTTATAGATCGTAGAGAATTGAGTACCTAATTACATAAATACTTGACTGTTTACAAACCTCTTCGCTATCGAAAAAATGCCCCTTATTCTATCCTTAATGATTCTGTAAGCACTTTAAACGAGCAGTGTATCTCTGAAAAGGAATGTTTTATATTTCTTAAACTTGTATATTTTGTAATAAAAATGTAAATCATGATATTTATTGTACCTATCTAAGATGAAAGTGTTCAAGAGTTCCGACTTCAAACAGATTCACTATACCTATAATGGCTTTAGTTTTTCAATATAATAAAACACGTGAAATTAAGTTAATTTTTTTATTTTCTACCTTGGCAACATTTATCTACGTTCTATGGTTTTGAAGAAGTATCGAGAAGAAGATGATTAAATTACAATATTAGTTATCTACGTACCATATAGAATTACAGTTCTTGTTTTAAGTCACGGACAAATAAATAAAATGGTACATAGTACATTAAATTGCTGATTGAGAAAATAATTAATTTGAGTTTACCCTTTTACATTTTATCCGACTTATGACAGACGAATTACTGTAGTATGTAGAAATTATTACACAATATTCTGTTTTTGTTAAAAATCCTGTTTTATAAACAGTTTTCCCCTGGTAGTGTGGTTCACACTTATTACACCGGTGTCAGGGTTTTATTTCACATTTGCCTTTTTAGGGCTGAGTTTCCAATGGTTAGATAAAAGTTATCTGGGGAATGTTGGTATAAGACAGTGAAAGCAACAATTTTATTCCTCAGATAACCTGTTATCTGACTATTGACAAATCAGCCTCTAGGCTATTCAACTTTTAATTTATATTTCTACGAAAACTCACAGTGAAACAATGACAGAAATTTCGTAATGATCGAGAACACGTTTCTAGAATATAGTTTAGTTGATACACAATTCTAACCGATTTCGGTCATAACGACTCTGATTATTCTGAGCATCGCTGGTCTTCACGTAGGTCTTCGAAATAGGTAGTTTCTTCTAATGAGATAGAGTATTCATAGGGTTGTCACTCCAAGCAAAGTCGTCGCTTGAGAACGCGTAGACCATCCAGTAGAACAAGTTGAGTAGGGCAAACGAAGCTGGAAACATGACGCGGGCAGCCCTGTCAATGTGGGACACGCTGTTTATGTGGCCTCGGCTGCCTGTATGGACAATTATTAAGAAAATTAAAATAATAATATAAACATAACTTCACGCTTTTTTACCCTAAAAGGGTCGGCAGAGCTGAACGTAAGACCACTGGCTCTGTAGTCGCACTACGGCCACTCTAGCATCAGGCTCGAACGCTAACAGTCGGTTTCGACTTAGTTTTAGATAAAAGTCTTATTTCTCAGCAAAATAATTAAAAGCTAATTCACTTATTGTAATTGAAGGGCTTGTAAATAACCGACTGATTGTGACTTCGTGACTGTGTATTTGCTAAGGCGTGCCAATAAATTATTTATTTTTAATTTCAAAAATTTGTTTCTTTAGTCTCTTAACTTCTGAAGTTTCCTCAATTTATTTTTGCTCTTCATAGGTGGCGCTACTGGAGTTTAGTGCATTCTGGTCTTCGAAACTACATTGCTATTTGTTAAGGATTATAATTATTTATCATTCATTTGTGTCATTAGTTTAGTCCGTACCAGCTTCAACCTGTCTTTGTCTCCTGTATCGATCGTCTCCAGCGAGACAGTAGAGTAGTTGTCGCCAGCGTGGCACTCGTCTCTCAGTCTGCGTAGTACGTTCCATGGTCAGTCGGACCGCAGTCTGCTCGCCTGGGGCTCCACTCTCTTCCTGGTTGCTTTGAGCAGGTAACGTGAAATTCTGAAAACATTTATTTTCAGATAACTTGAATCCCTTCAAGTTTTAAAAGCACTTAACATTTTAACTCACATAAAAAATCTGAAGTCAACAACGACAACGTGGTTTTTTATGCGGTAGGTCGGTCCAAAGCAGTTGTGAGTACCTACGGCTGGCAGCCGGCCTTTTTAGGTTGAAGGTAAGGGATATATGGATTAGGCATTTGGATACTGGGGCAGGGCAGTTGTAGCAGTTGGTCTCCATTACCATCACCAACTCGGTCAAACTCAACGCAAGATTAGTGGTATCCGTGGCAGTGGTATCATTCCAGTTAAGCTGGCCTATTTGTGGCGATGCGTGGCTCTTCTACAGAGGACATGTTCTTATTAGTATTCGGTCCCTCATGTCTGAGGATCGCGGTCAGCATCGGGGTAACATCTAGAGCGGATGATCCGCCTCCACCGGTTTTGATCCAGCGCATCTCTCACTACCGCGAAGAATTCGGAGGACGATGAATCTTTCACTTGATCGGTCCATCTGGATGGTGAACGACCACGCGATCGATTGCCTTATAGGTATATCCATAGGACATGTACCTAATATGAAATACAACAAATCCGGTGGTTGGAACATGTTCGGATTGATAATTTAAGCCACTCACTACTCGTGAACTTAAGTCCTTCAGTTACATGAACACCATACATATAACAAATTGATTATACTACCTAGGTACTACTTATACTAACAAAATTCGTAGTGGATCGAGCAGAACTGCGCCGACGAACAGCTAGTTGTCGTGCTGCAAAAGCGTCCCCTCCAACTTCTTCAATCAGCTCTTCCCATTCTGCATCGTCTATCACGATCTCACCGGAGCCAACCTAGAACATGTCATTTATAATAATACACTTTTATATAATACAGTTTTGAGCATTGATCACCAAGCTTAATCAAGGCGGATATGCGATTTCTAACTTAGAAATTATAAGTCACTTGGGAAATGTTGTAGGTAAATACTTGCCAGGTTTCAAACCAATGAGAAGAGGGTGCCTTAACCTCTGGGTCACCACGACAAGTACACGCTTAAGTAACGTCTTTCTACAAAACTTTTAGCAATATTGTTCCTTACCTTAGTAAAATAGTGCACGCCAGCAAATTCCAAGAGAGTCGCAATGCAATAAAAGAAGCTCATTAGGAGGAACCAGTCGAGAGCAGTCGCATATCTCACTTTTGGCAGATCTGTGCGTGAGTCCAGACTGATAGTGGAGAGAGTCAGCACTGTTGTTATCCCGAGTCCAACACGATCCGAGGTGGCCTGGAATGTAATGCTAAATTTTAAAATCTTATCCATTTGTATGAATACTCAATGAAACGAATGTGTTTACAAGTTACCTCACGATGAATCCAAAATGATACCCACGAAAGGACCACGATGAGTATGCACGGCACGTACACTTGTATAAGGAAGTATCCTGTATGGCGCTGAAGATTAAATGATACTTGAAGCACTGAGAATTCACCTGAAACATTTGTTTATCAATGAACTGAATAAGGAAAAACGATGTAGGTACCTAGACTGTAGACACCTATGTACATACAAACATGCTACAGATTATTTCTGCAATAAGTTAACATGTTCGATAAGTAGCGATATATTGAACACTAAAAAGCATTGACCGGCTCAGTAGTTACATATTGGGAGCCATTTATGCGAATGTAAATTTCTCGGCGCGTAAAAGCCGATTCGTGTCATTGGCGCGAGGCGCTACAATTCGTTTGACATTATTTTGTATTTGCCTTCCAGACGAAAAAAGCAAATCATATTTATAAAAGAAGCACTTGAGGTCTATTTTGTATGGCAATTTAAGATAAAAGTGCTAAAAAGCGACGTGTTCTGAGCACAGAAATTTTCGGTAAATAAGAAACGGGTAAAGTCATTTACGGCTGAGTGAGTTTACACGTGGATGGCGGGAGGTACACGGGTAGCTCACCTTTGTTATGCATTTATTTAAGAGGACAAGAGGACTTTACAATTTGTTTACATGTGTGTTTGGTACACATGTTAGACAGCAATGACACAAACTTTTGATGAATTTGCCGACTGATTTGGCTGAACATATGTAAAAGTATAAAATATGTGTGCAATAAAGTATAAATAAATAAAAAGTACGTATGGTATTTTACCGTGGTATTTTCCATATCCAAACCCATGTGTGCGAAATCACATTAAGCTGTAAGCGGATGAACTGCCGGCGCGGGTCGTGGGAGGTGCGCGCTTCTGTCGTGATTAGTGGAGATGAAAGCACTGATACGAGATACGTTGAGACTTTCCATCCAATACTTTCAATATAGCATTTACATACTTAGGTTCTTATAGTCAAATTTAATAAAAACCAGATAATAAGGAGACCTCTTCATACTTTCGTTCAATATGGCGATATAATCAAACGGCATTGTGATGTTACGCGTGAACAAATACATTTTTGTTTGTATAGGCTTCGTAATAAGGGAGGTTACTCTTGTTTGCGTCAGACAAACTTTCTTCCTAAATGAATAGAAGTACTTTGTGCTTAATCCGTGCAGCGGAGCGCAAATAACTGTATAATGTTCTTATTTTGGCGAACAAAGCAAGAACTTGATAAATGTGATGCATGTTCAAACTTGTTACATAAGTATCCTATCGTGTGTATGCATAGATAGTCAAGTATTATTACCTTCCCGTCGAGTGAACGTGAAGTTTCTATAAGGGAAGCTGATGAGGTCGAACTGTGAGAGGGTCATGCCCGGGACGAAGTTGACGCTCTGAGAGTTTTGCCACTGGTACACCAACTGCTGGTTCGAGTACGCATCTACATAAGGAAAAGAATACACATGTAACTACTGATTACATAAAAATAAATATAAATAAATATTTGCTTTTTATATATAAGAATGCTTATTAAATTATATTCAGTAATTATACCTACGAATCATACGGACTATTTGTCAATTAAAAACGCAATAGTTGTAGGTATACATTTTCATACTCACAGCTGCCAAGAATCAATGGACAAGACTGTCGGTCCATCGGAAAATTTCGGAGTTCCATCGGACATTTCGCTTTTATAGTCAATCTGGAAATAATCTCACAAATTCAAAATTACAATCATAACAGATATATTTGTAGAAACGATCCCATTACGTTTAGATAATCGGATAATTTTGGCGACAACAACACATGAAACACAGCTAATTCACTACTTCACGTTACGAACTGACGTAAAAAATATTTGCAAGAAAAACATCCAAACCTTTACAGTTGCGTTTGAGGTGTAATCGAATCAAGTATTAATGAAAAAGTAAAATAAACGGTCAACGTTTTAGATAAAAGCAGTGTGTGCAAAGTGAAACAGTAAATAGCTGCAAACGTTCAAAATGCCGCGAACGGCATTGGATTAACCGAAAGGACGCTTGAGCCTGTGTCGCGTTCAACGAAGCAATTCTGCATCCGAATTTTGTCCGAAGTAA